GGAGGAGCCAAGGATCGAACCACTAACCTTCATCAGTAGAATGACCTGGTCTACCTGAGCTGCAGCCACCCCAATCAACCCACAGCTCTGGTCAGACGTTTACAGGCATTCATCATTACTGTTCCTTTTCCAGGGTGGAACGATCTACAACATACTTCTTTTTTTTTTTTACCAAGAACTCCTGGCACAAACTTGAATTTATTATAGATTTTCAAAAGTACACATACAGGCTCAATTATAAATACATCCCCACAAATATTTGATTAAAAGTCATTTAGTAAGTTGCATCTCACCTAGATGCTTTTTGGTAGCCATCAATAAATATCTGGCATAATTCTGGTTGAAGACTTGATCACTCCTCTTGACAGAGTACATTTAAATTGGTTGGGTTCCTGGCACAGACTCAGCTTTTAGACATAGTCCATACGTTTTCAATAGAGTTGAGTTCAAGACTTTAGGAAGGCCATCCCAGAAGTTTAATGTTAGCCTGCTTTATCCATTTTCAAAACCAAGCTTGACATGTGCTTGGGGTCACTGTCCTCCTTCTTCATTATTCAATTCACTTTGTGCAACATACGGTACAGCCGATACCAAAACGGCCCAGGAGCATGACACTACTACCACCATGCTTGACAGCTGGTACAGTATTTTTAAGTTTGTAAGCCTCACCTTTATGCCTCCAAACATTTCTTTTGTCATTGTGGCCAGACAGTTGAATCTTTGTCTCATCTGGCCAACATACCATGACATTCATGCCTATGATGGGTGGATGCAAGCTTCTGACCACATCCGTAACTCAGAGGATTAAAAAGTGGATCTACGTGTTCTTTATTGTGCACGAAAGTATCTGAACTATCCCTTCTTTTATATATAAACATACAAAAAATGTGGTTTAAATAATATAGGATATGACCTGTTACTCTTTTCCACTGTAGTTTGCCCATGTTTGACAAAGGCTGTAGAGGCTTTGCTCCCATTAAACATTTACTACCGTTTTCTCAATACCAAGGTAATAAGCAACTGGTTATTGAAAATTATAAAGCATTAATAAGGTAAATAAAAAGTAAAAGTAGGTAATATATTAGTAATAATATCAAAAATATTTTGCTAAACTATAGGTTTATATTTATAATTTGCAAGACAATTATAACAACATGACATGTGAGGCAACAACAGATCGGTTAACAGTATAAAAATATTAGATGTTACATCTTCAAAAACACACATTCAATTTCTCTTCCTTTATTAATACAGCCACTTCTTTGTAGAGTTTATGTGTGGCAACCTTGAACTGGCATTGTTGGTTTGCACTGCATTAAACTTAAATGAAAACCAGCGGGTCTCATGATGATGCTGTTACCTCATCCAAAGTTATTAATATATTTCTGGAAGCTCTTTAGTTGGAAAAAATAATGTGTCAGCATCAAATTAGGCTTCTTTTTTTTTTAAATTCTCAGTCATGAGTATATAAGCAGAACAAAAGCATGTGACGCAAATTTTCGAGAGAACCCTTGGAGCCCAGTGATGTGGTCACCCACTCTTGTCCTTTTTTACAATGACTCATTTTTTAATGAGGAATTAGTATTTGAAACATCACCACATGCTTTTAAATGTATGAAGCCCACATGATAAATTACAACACGTGTTAATTTTAGATGGTGCCAGCACGCACAAAAAGAACTGCTTTCAAGTAACTCCAGGTTATTCAGTGATGGAAAGTCGGCTTAAAGATTTCACACTACAGAAACAAAATGAGTGTATGTGTAACAGTTCTCATCGAACAAACTTACGAGCCTTTTTGTTAATGCAACCACTCGTTAAGACAAATATCTACCCAGCCAATCACATTACACCAACTCAGTTTAGGCATGTAGACGTGGTCAAGACAACTTGCTGACGTTCAAACCGAGCATTAGAAATGGAAAGAAAGTGTCACGACTGGGGCAGCAGCCGTGTGATGTGTGGAAGGAGGACTCAAATGCAGCACTTATTCAGATGTGAGGGTGATTTATTAAGAATACCAAACATAAAGTGGGGATGGCAAAACAGAACTACGGATGAACTAAACTGGGAGAAACTAAACCAAAGAGTAGCAAACCTGAACATGAAGGGAGGACAGCAGGGAGAACACGCAGGGGATTCACAGAGTAATAAGATAAGATAACTCT